ATATTTTTGTCTCTTTTTTACAAAAAAGTGGCAGATTTGTAAAGAGTCATGTGAGTGTGGTACGCTTGTAAATGTGTTTTTAAAAAGTGGTATTTTTGTAATTCTTCCTTTAAAAAGTAGCATTTTGTGGTATTTTTGAAAAATGTGATCTTCTAAAAAATTTTATCTTTTGGTTGGGACCTCGGAAAAAAAAAATGATAGAAAATCACCACCCAAAATAAATAAAGAAAATGAGATAAAGGAAGCAAACGGCCACCTTTACTTAAGTCACCTCCGTCCTCGGTCCTCCTCTTCCGCCGTCGCCGTTGAGATGACCACCGCTGAGTTAACTCCGTTTCCGTCTCGCTCCATTTTTCTCGGTGTCGACGTTGGCACTGGAAGCGCAAGAGCTGGTTCTTCCCTTTATCGTCAATTCCTTTTCAAAACTGTGTTTCGGTTTTGATTAATTTCATTGCAATCTATAATTATCGATTTCCTTGTGTGATTAATCTTGTATTTAATCCTTGATTTTGAAAACCGATCTCTGTTGTACCGGAATAACCCACTCGAATCGCCCCGGTGACCGTGAAATAATCTCTCCGACGTAAAAATGTGTTAATGTTTCAAATTTCTATTCATTGTTCTGTGTGGCTTATTAAGGTAGAGAGATTTGATTTTGGATTATGAATTTCTTCATGTTCTTGTGTTTGAAAATATTAAGTTGATTGTGATTTAGTTTAACAATATAAATTATTTGGGTTTGTAGCTTAAGTTGATTTCATGATGCAGGATTGTTCGATGAAAATGGAAAGCTTCTAGGCTCTGCTAGTAGCCCAATACAGATTTGGAAGGATGGGGACTGTGTCGAGGTAACTTTTTCAATACGAAACCTTGATTTCAAGTCGTGAGAGTAACCGACATTTGATTGGAACAGCAATCTTCAACCGATATCTGGCACGCAGTTTGTGCAGCTGTAAAATCTGCTTGCTCTCTTGCAAATGTTTCGGAAGTACAAGTGAAAGGAATAGGCTTTGCTGCTACGTGCTCTCTCGGTTTGTAGCATCTTCGTCTTTATGTTTGTTTTTGGCTGAAGAATAGAACTATAGAAGCTTAACACTAACAATGTAACATTGTTGTTTTTTCTTCTTACAGTGGCGGTTGATGCTGAAGGGTCCCCTGTGACAGTGTCTTGGAGTGGTGATTCAAGAAGAAACATTATTGTATGGATGGATCATAGAGCTGTAAAACAGGCAGAAAGAATCAACTCTTATAATTCTCCAGTCCTGCAGTACTGTGGTGGCGGTGTTTCTCCAGAAATGGAGCCACCAAAAGTACGTACATGACGTAAATTCTTTCTGCTTGTTTGAGTTTGATGAAACAAACAAACAAAAACTCTGCTTTCGCAGCTTCTATGGGTGAAAGAAAATCTACACGAGTCTTGGTCAATGGTGTATAAGTGGATGGACTTGAGTGATTGGCTGTCTTATAGGTATCCTGGATTCTCCACGCCTTTCGCTCTTTTTAACCTTTTTGAGATAATTATCTTTGCATCACCTGATTCTTTTTTTTTTGTTTCCTCCTAGAGCTACTGGAGATGATACTCGTAGTTTGTGCACCACAGTATGTAAATGGACGTATCTTGGTCATGCACATATGCACCAGATGAGTGAGAAAGCTTCTCGTGATATGGAAGCGTGTGGATGGGATGATGAGTTCTGGGAAGAGATTGGTTTAGGCGATCTGGCAGATGGGCACCATGCAAAGATCGGTATGAATTTTGTTTTGGTTTACTTTAGTTGTTATAAATATTAATATAGGAACTGTGAAACCTGTACTTTTACCTTGTAACAATGTCATTCTCTATTGTTATTTAGGACGTAGTGTAGCTTTTCCGGGACATCCACTGGGTAATGGTCTAACCGCAACAGCTGCTAAGGCAAGTTATTTACTGAGCAACCACTTAAAATTAAGAAAACTGAGATGTTTAGATAAAAGAGCAAGCACTTTATTTCTTCTATGGATCTTAGAGCATGCTTACTTCTCTTTAATCGTATTGTTTTTCTTAATTCTCAGGAACTGGGTCTGTTGGCTGGAACTCCTGTCGGGACTTCACTCATTGATGCTCATGCCGGTGGTGTGGGGGTCATGGAAAGTAAATTAGGTTCAGACTCCGTAACAAAAGGTATTCTTTTGCCATTCTAGTCTAGCGTAACATGGTATATTAGTCTCTTAAGAATTGGCATTTTCAGAGTCAGATGTGGATACCTTATGCTCTCGAATGGTTTTGGTATGTGGCACATCAACTTGCCATATGGCTGTTTCCCGTGAAAAGCTGTTTATTCCTGGCGTCTGGGGGCCTTTCTGGTCAGGTACATACGCACTCGGTCTCTATTCTTTCTCTTTGATATATTAAATCTCACCCATATTTCTCCAAAAAAAAAAAAAAACTGTATTGTAGCAATGGTGCCGGAGTACTGGCTTACAGAAGGAGGACAAAGTGCCACTGGAGCTTTACTTGATCACATAATTGAAAATCATGTTGCTTCCCCTCGTCTTGCAAATCGTGCCGCTTCCCAGAGTATCAAACCAAATCTAATATCTTCCACTTTTTCCCTTCTATTGATAAAACATTGGTTGAACGATAGTGTCTTGGCTTCCGCAGAAGTTTCTGTGTTTGAACTCCTGAACAACATTTTGAAATCGACGGTGCAAGATACGAGTTCTCCATTTATAGCTGCCCTTACCTCAGACATGCATATCCTTCCAGACTTTCACGGAAACAGGTGAGTACAATAGAAAGTGCTACTCTGAATCTTCCCCGTTTGAGTTACTGATTCAGAGCTGTGTTACAGATCTCCCGTTGCAGACCCAAATTCGAAAGGAGTGATATTCGGAATGACTCTCGACACAACCGAGAAGCAGTTGGCTCTTTTATACCTCGCCACAATACAGGGAATCGCATATGGTACACGCCATATTGTAGAGCATTGCAATGCCCATGGTCACAAAGTAAGTTTTGTTCGCCTTTTTCACAAATGGTTCTGTAGAAGACATTCGCTTTCACAACCAGTCTCATATTTCTTTGTCTCTACATTTGATGTTAGATTGACACACTGCTTGCTTGTGGCGGCCTTTCAAAGAACCCGTTGTTTATTCAAGAACATGCTGATATCGTTGGTATAGTACTAATCACACACTTTGTTCCACTGCTTTCTGTAATCCAAATCGCACACAAAAATAGAGTGATCTCATTGAATCGGTCTATTGATTGACAAATTTGGCAGGTTGCCCGATTATTCTTCCCCGAGAAAGCGAGTCTGTTCTTTTGGGAGCAGCAATTCTTGGAGCAGTTGCTGCCAAGAGCTACCCTAGTCTCCATGATGCTATGAAAGCTCTTAACGCAGCCGGACAAGTAAACACTAATCTAATTATTTCTTTCGTACTCAATTCATACATTGATCATGTGATTAACGTGCCGCTTTTGATAAATATCAGGTGGTTCATCCTTCATCAGACCCTAAAGTTAAGAAGTATCACGACGCCAAATACCGTATTTTCCGTGATCTCTATGAACAGCAATTGTCTCACCGTGCCATCATCTGTGAAGCTCTTTCATAGTGTCCTGATGTACACAAAATGTATAGTACTACTCTCTGCAACAATCATCTTTCTTTTGCTACTGATTAAATAAAATTTGACTGTGATTGCTCTTCTTGACAAAATCTCCATAGAGTAATACAATGTTCATATTTGCTCATTTTTAGTGTTTAAGAGATTTATTCAATTTTCTCCTTTTTCTATAGTTTTTCCTCGTGATTTAGTCAACAAGTTGCAAACTAACTAGCTTATGTGAAACAACACACTTTCTAATGATGAGTGATTATTACACCAAAACATTGAAAATTTTCCTAAATATTCTTGGTGTAAACTAGAAAACAAATCATATTATAATGCTTGGGTACAAACATAAAAAAGGAAAAAATATTAACACCCAAAAATACTACAAAACAAGTAAAACAATTTATTCGGCTTCCTAAATATTTTGAAAACAACTGATTTTTTTGTTTTTCTTTTGAAAGCTTTCAGAAATGTTTCCTAAATAATTGTGGTTTTTTGGAAAAACAAATGGTATTTTAAGGAATCTTAAATTATCAATTGTATAAAATGTCAAATGGTAATCTCTATAATATTAAAAGAGAAGTACATTTAGCAAAATATCTAAAATTCATTCTAATATTACTGAAATTGTCATTACTTTTAAACTAAAGAGATTCAATTGAAAAGGGTAATTTTGGATATATGCAGTGGCAATTTCAGTAATTATCAGATCAATTTCAGACATTTTTGTAACTGGATCCGACTGCAGACACGCGGATCCTACGCGACCCGGTTCGATGATCCGAATTCATTAATGGCAAAAATGTAATATTCACCCAAAAAAAAACCCCTTTCGCAGG